CCCCAAAACCCCAAAACCCCAAAACCCCAAAACCCCGCAAAAGGCTTTATAAATAGAAATTGTGATGATTACATAGATTTCAAGTTTAAAGGGTTTGAAGGAGTGTGAAGTATGCTGAGGTTTTTGGATATGCGAAATTGGAGGTGTTTGAGTTATGTGAGGGAAGAAAATATCTGAGTGGAAGAATAAGGAGAGAGGGTTATGATAAAAAAGGGGATAAGGACAGAGGTTAGTGGGGTAGGGTTTGTTTTGTATTTAATTTTAGCGAGAAAATGATTTATACAAAATAGAGGAGTCCTAATCAAACCTATGGTGTATACCTGAAATATCAATCTTAGAAGACATCTCACAACTGTATCCACTGTCATCCTCTGGGAACTGCTCAGAGAACTCATCTTCAAGTCCTGAGATCTCTTCCTTAATCACCCTTGGGTTATCATTATTTTGAGATTCTTGGGTATTCTTTTCAGTTTTCTCGTTTTCGATTTCTTCAATATATTCTCTAGGGATTCATAAGAAGGTGAAAAAGAGTAAGAAGTACATGCCAGCTTGGGTATAATAGCTGTATCTCCATGCCTTAAATTCTTGATCAAAGATAGCTGTGATTCCATATCCAAGGACTACCCCAAGAGGTACTGAGCTTTGAAGAATTGTTAACCAAATTGTTTTATACTTTTCATACGCAAAAAGATCTACCCAAACAGGGAAATATATTCATAAGAAGACTTGGAAGAAGCCTACTCCGAACCGGAAAACTGAGAGAACGAAGAAGTCTCTAACAAGTGTGAAGCCAATAAGTCATACCATATTAAACAGAATACAAACAAGGATAATGTTCTTCACTCAGAAATGGTGAAATGTAGGAGGAGAAGTAAAAGAGCCTGCTAAAAGTCCTCAATACACTGCAGAGCCCAGTAGCCCAAGAGATGCATTGTCAAGGCCAAGGTCCTTCTTTATCGTAACTGTGCATGCAGGTATTCATCCATGGTCTACATTAACAAGGATATTAGTGATTCAGATAACCACAAATCAGAAGATATGAGATGCACTCATCGAGGACTTATCAACAGTATGAGTCATTTTTGAGGGCTCTTCATCGACCTTGTCAAGGAGTTCTATTTTACCGATGATATCATCATCATTCTTCTTCTGTGAGAGACCTTTTGACAGAAGAGAGCTCTCTTCCTCCTCCTCTCTCCGTTCAGAAACTATGAGGTTAGCAAAAGATATTACTCTTGTTTTTGGATTTATTATTGGAAGTTGTCGTCCCTTTGGTCTCTTCAGATGGCTTCTTCAGGTGATTTATCTCAGCCATCTCGTTTATTTTATTAAGATTCGTCCTATCCCAGTTAATGTTCAGTTTCCGTCTGCTGCTTGAGTAGGTGACCTTCTTTTCGTCCCCATAAATTGGGTGTAAGTTATTATTAACTGAAGTAAGATTTGTCTTTGGTGAGGCTATGGACTGTTTGGAGAATACATTCGATGATAAGCGGTCATTGCTGGTAGCTTTATTGTATTTTGACTCCTTCTTTTGATCAAGTTCACTATCATAATCCTCGGAATCTAAGTTTGAGTCTTCCTTAATGTTATCTGAAGAACTGTCCATTTTGTATTAATTATTTCATATTTTAAATAACTTTCTCGATAATCGGGGTTTTGGGGTTTTGGGGTTTTGGGGTTTTGGGG